CTTAAAAAAAAACATGGATACAATTTCGAATACGTATAGACAAAAACTATACATAGTTTATTTTGTTTATTTTGTATTTAGATGCTTGTACATTTCTACCTTGTATTACCTATTTAAAACAAGGGGCCTACCGTGAAACGTAATTCCGAAGTTTCGTTTCTCAAAGTATCAATGTATGAAGAAACGTGTTTATATCGAATTCGAATAACCGTAGACAGAGTAACATTTCGATCGTCACGAATTTTTCCTTTCTTTGTATTCCTTTCGTGAAATGTCGAAAACAATTTTTTTTTTAAATTAATTATAAAAAAAAATTACGCCATTTTGACAGCAATTCTTTCATATTATGAACAACAAATACGTGTTTCGTTCGATTCCGAAATTTTGAAGCAACAGCTTTTATGGTACAGTGGAGAGGATACTTGGTACATATACACACAAGAAATATATTGTTACATAAAAGTTAGACATTGAATTCAATTCTCGTTTCGCTAAAATTAGTAAACAAACACACTGGCACTCTATTCTGTTTAAAACAAAATATGAAAAGAGTATCCGATAATACCCTTTCATATATCTTAAAATAACTTTCATTAAATAAAAAAGATGGATTATGGAATTTAGATTTCATAATATTTTATCTGTCTTAAAGATTCATAAAGATTAATCTTTAGTATATGTAGGCTTGTTTTTTATACAACTTAGAATGGCAAACAAGCTGACGGCCCACCTGATAGAAAGTGGTAACCGTCGCCTATAGGCACAAGCAGTGTCATGGACATAACAGAGTGTACTGTTTCGCCTATGATACCCCCCATGCGTTGCCATTCTTGAGGACTCGGATGTTATTCCTCTGTATCCTGTAAATTCACACCATATCCCACCCTTCAAACCGAAACACAGCCATGCAAACACAACTGCTTCACGGTAGAAACACGAATGAGACAGAGGCACCCAAGCAAACGACTTTTGTACAAAGTCTCCCTCTGGTAAGAGGGACTACACAAATATCTACAATAGGTCTACATAAATACATAATAATTCGAGTTTGAGATTCGGTTATGTTTTATGTATTATTACCATTTCATGTATGTGTTTATTTCATTATATTAATGATTCTGGTAGCCATGAGCAAAATAATTTTTATTTTACGTTAATTATTCATGAAATATTTTACGTAGTCTTTAATATTGGAATACCACCTCCCGCATACTATTTAGATGCAGATCGCGTAATGTGTGATTGTCTGGCGAGCTGCACTTATTTTCAGAGCGTACAAATGTTATTTTCAGCCTCAAACAAGTCTGTTTTATAACAGTACCCTTCGATAGTAGTTTAGCAACGAAAGTGGAAAATTAAAAAAAAAAGATACTGATGGCTGCACTGCGATGATAAAACGCTCGCTTCACTCGAACGCAGTCGGTACTTCGACACGGACATAAGCGAGTTATGTAGCGCGCATAGTACCAATCTTGACGGCATATCCAAACATTTCAATCAGTCAACAAATCAAAATCATTTATTCATTAATCATTCATACATGTACATAATTCTTTTAACTCCTCCGTCCAATTCTATAAGCATGGAAAGAAACTTGACTATTACTCACTGAACTACTTTAATGACAAGCGTGCATGGTGTTTATCGATCATGCGCAAGCTTTTAACGACCGTGTAATTTTAGACATACTACATTTAAATAAATACACATTTTTTTATACAACTTAGAATGGCAATCAAGCTGACGGCCCACCTGATGGACAGTGGCAAACGTCGCCTATTGACATGAGCAGTACCATGGACATAACAGAGTATACTGTTTCGCCCATGATACCTCCCATGCGTTGCTATTTCTGAGGATTCAGGTGTTATTCCTCTGTACCCAGTAAATTCACACCATATCCCAATCTTCAAACCGAAATACAGTCATGCAAACACAACTGCTTCACGGTAGAAACACGAATGGGACAGAGGTATCCAAGCAATCGACTTTTGTACAAAGTCTCCCTCTGGTGATAACACATAATGTTAACAGAGATTTAAAAGAGTAACTGTTGAATTTCTTACGGGCTCTTCTCAATAGGTGACAACTTTCTGAACCTTGCAGTAGATTTAAAAAGAAAGATGACGATTTAAAAGTGCTTGTGAACAAGTCGATAGATAGTAGATAGATAGATAGATAGACACTCTTTATTGTTTCCTCCAAAAGATTACAATAGTAAACTTATTATAAATATAAACAATTACAAGAAATAATCACAATGAGAAAACAATGGGCGGCCTTATCACTAAGAGCGATCTCTTGCAGGCAACCTTTGGATGGAGAGGAGTAATTATAAACAATAGTAGAATTATTTGTAGACAATACAAATGTAATCGAAATGTTCACACAAGTAAGTATATGCATAAATCAAATCGTGGCAGTGGATGCACCGACCGCACTTGGCAAATGCAACGACACCACAGTCCAACTTATGCATTCGAGTACAGATTGCATGCTAAAATGAGGCTATATTTTTTTTATTGGTAAAAATGGATGGTGTTTTTATGGATATTAATGGTATGATACATAGGGAGTGACCAGTGTAAATAGAAATGAATGTAAGAAGAAAATATATTACGCCAACCACAAATAGATGTAGTAAAAGGGCAAGAAAGAGAAAAAGAAGAAAGAATCTATGGTAAGCTGGTAGAAAATGATTTGTTTACAACACAGGGGGTAAACGAGCAAGCGGCTCACCTGATGGTAAGTGACTACCGCCGCCCATGGTCACCCACAACACCTACGGCATTGCAGGTGTGCTGCCGACCTTTTAAAAGGGAATATCCTCTTTTCTTGAAGGTTATATTGTCGTATCGGTTCGGGAATACTGAATATATGGTATTAAGCTTGCCATTTGTACAAAGTTTTATTGTGCAATAAAGAATTAATAAATAAAGTTTACATTGACCTGTTGAGGATGGGGCTCCCCCCTATCCTCACCTATTAGTCCTATTATCCCTCACCGGTAACAGGTCAATGTAAACTTTATTTATTTATTCTTTATTGCATTATTTGTCTTTATTGGTTTGTTTAGTAATGTGGACTACCAGTCCCATTGCTAGCAATACATCCTGTCAGGTCGACCTCCACAAGGTCCTCCCTGGAAACAATCATTCTGAATATTCATCCAGGTGTATTCATCACGATGGGCTAACTGATCTACCTTTTTATTCTTACCTGTCATCCCTCACTGGTATCTCGCCAGCGTATATCGTTAGCACAGGGTTGCCATTCCATTATCATCTATTAAAAAAAAATAGGTAAGGATGAAGGTAGGTCAGTTGGCCCACGCGGTTTCCAAAATGGATAATTTGGAGGTCTAGCAGGCAAGATATATTACATGAAAGATAAACTTAATTATAAGCAAAGACATGATAACTGACTCTAAGACCATAGCCAAAGCTCTGAACAATCGCTATATCGACCAAGTTTTTAAAATACAAAAGGAAGTTTTAAATTCTCATAAATATTTTTGTGTGTATATTACTCTAGATATTCTCCTGTCTAAACCGATTTTAATAATTCTTTTTGCATTCCCACTGGATTATTGATCTCATATTAATTTTGCAACTGATGGTAGATATAGCTCGTTTTTTGCAGACTAGAATCTGAAATGGTTTGCTAACTGTACACAACTATTATATTGCCTTGAAGAGAGCTTCTAGACTTGAATACAAAGCTCTCATAAAGCCTATTACGTCAGTGTACTCTATATTTTATTAACTGTATATTAGTAGGATTTCAGACAATCATCCTTTCCCGCTATTCGGTTACGTCTGTTTAGAAATAGAGTAGTATTTCTAGTACCAACAACAAAGGAATTTGTTTTACGACGGAATTAATTCTATTTTTAATCTGAAAAATATTCCAAATTTAAAATGTTTTATCTGTAATTTTTTTTTTAAATCCATTGACAAAATTTTACCAATATTTCTTTTTCATTAGAGCTTCTAGGGTATTTACGCTAAAGTTTCTTTACAAATGTATGTACGTACAAACTAAAAAGTTATTCTATGCCTATAAGTTTATGTAAGTATTTATATTAGCCAGCTATAGTATTTTTTTAGGTTAAAGGTGCATATATTTAGGCATCTCGACCTCGCTATTTTATACGAATTGCGGGATGCATGCAGCGAGGGATAACATTATGTTTTAATTAGGATAGAATGCGATATTAGGAAGCCAACGATAATAAGATGGACGACTTGAGACATTACTGAAGTAAATGAGTGGTCGGCCATCGGTAAGCTATAGTTGTAGGAACTTCCATAGACAATTGAAATGTGTGCGAAAAATGGCGATACCAAATAATTATAATGTAAGCGAATAATTTTTAAGCGATTTCAAAAAGTTCTCAAATCGTCTGTATTATTTTGTATATATAGTACGCAATATCTTCCTCAATTATGAACCAATTTTATTTATGTAAATCGATAACTCTTTTTATAATCCTATATTAGGATATATTCGTTCTATATTAGGTTACTCAATCGTAAATTAAGTCGCTAGTTTTTACAAAATTATATCTTGGCATATTTAAGTGGAGGATTTAAAATGTATTTATTAAATATTTAAGTAATGTTAATGTATTTATTTAATATTTAGGTACCTACTTTAATTAATTCATTTCCTGAAATCGTAATATTTCTTATGGAAGAAAACTTTTTGACTCTTCACATAAGAAAGAAAGAATCCGCCTTTCGATCGATCACTACTTATATCATGCCTATCTAATAAGGCTCTCGACTCGTAGAACATTTACTAAGTATCAAGTTTAAATAAACTACTTTATAACTGCAAAATATATTTGTTAGTCTGTGCGCATGTTGCGCCGATACATTTTTATTAATTTTAGTGTTGTATCTACTTATTCGATGACATTTAGTAAATGAAATATGTTTTTAAATGTTAAAAAAAACTTAGACGAAGACCCAACAGTCATAAAGTTATCTACTAACCTGTTATAATATAATAGTTGTTATTAATTAGAATTCCAATAGAAAAAAAAACCACTTTAATATTTCAAATCACTTATTTATGTTAAATGACACTATATCATAAATCCTACGTCACTTTAAAAACTTTAATTCTTAATTAAACGATTGGCGGGAAAACTCAAGATGATGGCGCGCGACCGTTTTCCGGCGCACAACGGGTAACTATGGCGTACTGAGATCGCGGCTTGACACAATAAAATTAAGCATTTACACTCCATCCAACTGGGACGACGTAGGTTCATTACGAAATAACCATACTAGATCGTGATTTGCTAGACATTTTCTTGGGAGTTAATTTGGCAACAGCACCATGCCAAATGGCTGCAGTTTCCAGTTGGTTTTACAATGCAAAAACTACAGAATAAATACTAGTACAACTAAAAGTGTCATTTGTTTTTATGTCACATTCTCTTTAGTCTTTAACTGTTTAATGTTTTAATTATGTAGATATCAAATTACGTCTAAAAAGTAGGTACCTATGTAATATCTACTATACTTGTGTTTTTACGCCTACAGCCATGAACAGCATGTACGTAGAGGGAAAAGAGATAAGGAATAATAGGAATTAGCGGCCGCATCCCTAGCAATATACTTTTTTTTTTTTTTTTTATAAAACTTAGAATGGCAAACAAGCTGACGGCCCACCTGATGGAAAGTGGTAACCGTCGCCTATAGACATGAGCAGTACCATGGACATAACAGAGTATACTGTTTCGCCCATGATACCCCCCATGCGTTGCCATTCCTGAGGACTCAGGTGTTATTCCTCTGTACCCAGTAAATTCACGCCATATCCCACCCTTCAAACCGAAACACAGCCATGCAAACACAACTGCTTCACGGTTGAAACACGAATGGGACAGAGGTACCCAAGCAATCGACTTTTGTACAAAGTCTCCCTCTGGTAACCTGTCAGGTCGACCTCAACGCGGTTCCCCTTGGAAACCATCAAGGTTATTTTTTTATGTATTTATCCCTATGGGCCAACTGACCTGTTTTTATGTACACCTATCATCCTTCACTGGTGCTCCACCATTATTATCTATTCAAAAAACACCATGCGTTATAAGTAGCTAACGAAATCTAAAAATCTAGGTCTACAAAATAAGTATTTCAATAATAATTTAAGATATTTTTCCACAAAAAAAAAATCACTTTCAATCGTGGTAAAACCAGTTACATTTAAAATATATATACTAAACCGATTAAAATGTCTATGGAACTAATCTGAAAGTATATTCTTTCAAATAAAAAAAAAATCTAAATTGGTTTATAAATGACAGAATGACGAGGTAACAAATATTAAAAAAATAAAACCGAATTTCCTTTCTTGAAGTCACTAGATTAAACAGAAAGATGGTTTGTTTGTGGATACCTAAGCCATAATATAAGCACCCAATTTAAAAAACTAAAATGTTCATTTGACGTGAATTTGGCATGACATTAATTGCACACATTAAAAATCGTACGGGAGCGTGTTTAAATGACTATTTATTATCATGTAATCCGGCTGTTCCATAATAAACGCGTCTCCCTCTGCTTATAAGCTACAGGAAGAATAAACAAAGGAGGATCATTAAAACGGCTATTTCGGAACGGCTGGTAGATATGCGCGGCTAGTTAGTGACTGATACGAGACAATGATGCGTGGCGCAAATTTATAATTAACATCTTTTTATTAGTAACAAAAAAAAAAATTAAAAACGTAGGTATTCACAATTATTTTTAGGTGTCAGATTAACCAACAACGAAGTATTTATTTGTTTAAATATCTTTATTGACCAAAATAAATTAAGATACATCGACAGGAACTTCATTCTTAGACGCTTGAACCTAAATGGTTGCGTGCAGTGTGGTTTCAAAGGAGTTTTCTCCCGCGAACGCTCAAGCTGTGGAATGAGCTCCCTGCCGAGATTTTCCTAGAGATTATAGTATGGAGTTCCTCAAAAAGAGTATATTATGGTTCCTCCAAGGCTGACAACGAGCACGTGACACCACTAGTGTTGCAGGTGTTTATAGGCTACAGTGACCGGTTACCCTCAAACAGGCTGTATGCTTGTTTACCTTTGTGGTATAAAAAAAAGTCAGGCAACCATGTTTTAGTTTCGTACATTTAACATACACTCAAAACCTTCAATCTTTGAGGTGTTTTTGTGGGATCTATCCTACGTTTTGATTTGCTAAAATTCGTGGCGCTTTTTATGAAAAAGAAAAAAGAACATGCACAATATTTTATTACTAATACATAACAGTAGGTAGACATTGTGAACATTCTTAAACATTATAGAAATAAAATGGCCTAATCGTTAAATATATATTTATATAAAGTTTACTTATTAAATCAGGATGTATGTACATATCTCATTCTAAGTACACAATTGGAACTTAACGCGATGTAAAAGCTTTTAAAGATAAATAATACCCATTGTGTATTTAAAATATATGTAAACAACGCGAAAATTTAAAATTAACTGTTACATATATTCTCAAAATCGTTATATTACTCTACATCGTTATTAATATAGTAACTGTTATATGTGGATTCCATAACACATTTCTAGATGGCTCATTATCAGATGATCTTTTAATTCACAGTTATAATTTTTTTAGTCTTAAAACTAGATGCTTAAATAGACCATAATATAAAATATACTTATTGAAGATTTATACAGTACTAATGTTATTTTAACTACATTTTATTTCAAGGTATTAACAATAATAATCAGGTGTCTCTGAAGTTTGAAAAATATAGTAAAATATTATCATATTGTCTATAGCCGAGTGCCCCATAAACATATAAGGATGCAGATATTTTGATTGTTTAAATATCGAATTTGGAATTCCTGTAATAACAGTTTTACATTTAACTAATATATAAATGTAGACAATTGTATAAAATTGGTGTTATTGACAAAAATTAAAACACCTCAAATTAGGTAATACTTTATTTACATATTAAATATATTTTTTTAACAATATAGTAAGTTACTTAACAACTTACCTTATTTTGAATATAAAATTTTCACTATTCAATATGTATACCTATAATAAAAATGATGAAACCTCGTATCAACTACAAAAGATGGTGTTATATACCACTAGGACAATATCTTACAAATCTCTGAAAGAGAAAAACACCTTATGTGCTGAATCTAATATTGTCAAAGATAATATTATTGTTTGTATCTTATTTAAAATTATATTTAGAATACTTACAAATTTAGTAACAATATTAGTACAATATATAATGTGTTTGCACACTGAAGTAATGCAAACATCAAATCCTTAGTAATTTAAATTGGCAATTTAATTAATTAATATCATATTATATTTGTTTAAATATATTTTATTCAAAAAGAAAATATGATTCAATATAAAGAGTTTATTACATATATTATTATACTGTTTTTACCTATAATAATATAATATTAAAATAAAAAATTTCTTTTCACTAGTAACTAGAGGGAGACTTTGTACAAAAGTCGATTGCTTGGGTACCTCTGTCCCGTTCGTGTTTCAACCGTGAAGCAGTTGTGTTTCGGTTTGAAGGGTGGGATATGGCGTGAATTTACAGGGTACAGAGGAATAACACCTGAGTCCTCAGGAATAGGAATGGCAATGCATGGGGGGTATCATGGGCGAAACAGTATACTTTGTTATGTCCATGGTACTGCTCATGTCTATAGGCGACGGTTACCACTTTCCATCAGGTGGGCCGTCAGCTTGTTTGCCATTCTAAGTCGTATAAAAAAAACGATTACACAAAATAATTATATAAACTACTAGAATTATTTGTTATCTACTGTTTAAAATTTTATTAACTGTAAGCATAACAAATAAGGCACGCACAAGTTGTGTGACAGTACTACGCTTGTTACAATGAAAACTGCCTGTGAAGTAATGTTTTATTAGCAACAGATGAGTGGACCAAAACGTTCCAGGTTCAAGGTCTTCGTGTCACAAATCATAGTTGAAATAATAGTGTCTCCTTTCCAGATCTCGTATTTCCACAATATCAGCCTTCAGACGTAATTTCAATATTTCTCGCCATAATGCATCTCTATGTTCTCTGTTTGTTATGCCCATTCGTAATAATGTGTTATCATTTATACGAACCAGAGCACGGCCAGTTATATCATGCTGGAATAAGTAATTAAATATAATCAATCAGAAATCAAACAATACAATTATTTTTAATTTTAATTACCAGAGGGAGACTTTGTACAAAAGTCGTTTGCTTGGGTACCTCTGTCCCATTCGTGTTTCTACCGTGAAGCAGTTGGCTGTGTTTCGGTTTGAAGGGTGGGATATGGCGTGAATTTACTGGGTACAGAGGAATAACACCTGCGTCCTCAGGAGTGGCAACGCATAGGGGGTACCATGGGTGAAATGGTATACTCTGTTATATCCATGTTACTGCTCATGTGTATAGGCAACTGTTACCACTTTCCATCAGGAAGCCGTCAGCTTGTTTGCAATTCTAAGTTGCACAAAAAAAAATTTAGAACAAAAAAAATAAGACAAAACAGTAAAGCTTTTGTATTGCTTCTTACACTTTAAAGTTTACTTAAAGTGTAACTTTTTGTTGTGTGATTTGAACTATAAGGAGTTATCAAAAATGTAAAGATACCATTGCACTTTTGTTCATAAGTTTTATTATAAAATAAAGGCCTGTGCAGACAACTGATATTTTGTGTGTGGGGAATGGTACACTATTATCACTAAAATATATGCAAAGGAATTACCCTTATCTGTAAATATCTTAAGATTCTTTACACACACCTTACTATGGATATGAATGTGTATTCGAAAATGTTTTTAGTGCTATTTATATCCAATGATGATTATTACCACTTTTCATGATGTGAGTGAGTCAGGTTGTTTGTATTCCAAGTTGCAAACTTACCTCATGAAATCTTTCCCAATACAAATGATAATAATCACTACAGTGACGTCGTAGCCACTTCTGAACATCGGCTTCTGTCCACAGATAAACTGCTTTCGGGCGAGTGGCTTTTGCCTAAAATGAGAGGTTATTGAGTCAATATCAACGACATATTTACGTAGTTTTAAGAAATTACGAAATTTAATCTTCCCTAACTATTGTAGTAATATTATCAGACAATTTATCGTGTAATTTAAACATACTAAAATGTAAATCGTGTGTATACCTTTGGTTTGTTAGAGTTTTGACTTGAATCTTCCACCATAGTGTTTGTATACTAATGTACACAACTTAGTTTATGTGACTTTATTCAAAATAGTGTATTTTAAACGTATTTATTTACTTAACTTGTGATAAATAACAAAACAAATAGTTTCGATAATAATTGTTTGTTCCGAACAGCTGACGAAGGAATGCAAAGTGATTGACAGTTTGACAGCTTTGTGATACACAGTCATAATTTACTGTATTTAACTAAGATTTTTATATATGTATAATTACTAAACATAAGAGTAATCTATGATTATATAAAAATAGTACAAAAATGGTGCAAGTAATATATAAAAATTTTAATCTTATCTTCATCTTATATTTTTTTTATTCATAAAACAAGTACAAATGTCATAAATCTCGAAAAAGTCTAGTATTTTGGACGCGATGTCCTTTTCGCACATTTTATTACATTACATGTTTAATGTAAAAAATATAGAATGACTTTCTTGATTTTGTGCTTAGATAAATAACTATGAGTTCAAAATACTTATAGACAAATGATCAATGTCACTGTCAGAATATTAGCTGTCAAGTGTCAAACTGTTAAAAAAAGTACTTTTTTGTCGCTACTGAAAAATAAAACTATTTTGTGTAAAAATTAACTCTCAAAATTGTATAATGCAGTTTTTGAAGGTTTAAAATGGCCCAGAATTTACAGAAGAAGCCCTCCAAGGGCATTTTAAAGACATCACGGAGTGTAGACGGGCAAGATGGTACACCTTCAACTAGCAAACGGGCGAAGGAACAACGATTCGATGAAATTAATATTATGGAGACTTTCCATCCAGCGAATAAAGATTACGGTCACATGAAGGTAGACGAACCGAAGACACCGTACTCCGAAGCCGTGGATGGGGACTTGGAGCCAGGAGACGAGTTAGACGCTAACATTCTTGCTGCGAAGCTAGCGGCTAGCATGAACAAGCCTCCGAAATGTGTAGAGGCGTGTGACAGCGACGAGGATATGGAAGAACCAGAGGATGTGCGGCAACGGCGGCTCGAGTTTGAAAAGAAACGCAAAATGCACTACAATGAGTTTCAGGTTAGAATCAATAATTAGTTATTAGTTTGGAACTTAATTAAAAACCACGCCCTGGACAGTTTATTCATAAATAGTATTATCTACTCCTCACTCACTTTTAACTTTTTATGTTTGATAATAGATTTTAAATCTCTCTTACTGTATCAATATATGTAGGGCATTAGTGAAAAATTACAAATAAGAATAAATTTGGATTAGTTGTCTCATTGTTATGAATTCAGCAAGATTTAACTAACCATTTAGTTTCCAAAATGCTAGTTCAATCTTGCTGACTAGTGGTTGACTTGACAGTTGACAGAGTACATTGCTAGCAATGGGACCATTATTTCCTATTACTAACATCGTGTGTGCTAAGCTGGAAAGTCTATTGACTCAATAACATATTCAGTAATTTTCAATTACTCATTGCAGGCACTGCAGTTGGCAAGACAACTTATGGCTCAAGAGGAAGAGGAGGAAGAAGATGATGAAAAACCTGAGAAGCCAACTACTTGACTGCCACACTTTACTGTACCTGTACATAGTGCTTACCCTAGCATCAAGCTGACATTACCTGCTTTCTAGAAGCCTGCCTGCTTTGAGGCTTTTCAATCATATGGTAAAATCAAAATTTATATTGTGCCCTATAAGGTTCCATACCTGATGTAGTTTACTTGTGTTATTTAAAATAATGTGATTACCTTTTATATTGTCTATAGCCATGCACTATATGTGCATTCACTGCACATGCGCAGATGTGGATCCCCTCATAATTGATCCTTAATGTAATATAAATGTTAAAACTTCATAAGGCGGCGGTGGTCACTTACCATCAGGTGAGCCGCATGCTCGTTTGCCCCCTGTGTTATAAAAAAAAATATCATAAACATAGATATATCTTGAACATGTGCTGAGATTTGCATAGTACATATATAGCATGCACTTGGCAGGTGTTAACCATGTGTGACTATGTAATAGCCAGCCCATATTTCTCTTATACAAATGTAATAAAATATCAAAATCTAGTCTCGATGCACCAATAGTGCATGCTCATATATGGCATGTAAACACTCATCAGCAATCATCAGTGGAGACTGGAGTCCACTGACAATGCCTTTATTATATTCTAAAGGTCACACATTATTTTGATAACATGATGTGCAGATTATTTTTATTTTATATGTAAGTAGTTTTTTGTATTTGCTTTTTGCATTTTTTTTTTAAATTGTTCCTAATCAAATAAACATGTACAGTCACTATCAAAATATATTGACACTTTATCACTCTGTTATATAAAATGTATAATAGGAGTGATATGTTTTTGAGATAAATTATTTACAAATAATATTAATGGAATATTTATATATATATTTTTAAACATACTCAATACTATTATTACAATCTTTGTACTTCTATATTTTATTGTACCCATTTTTATAACAGAAGATTACTTAGAGACGAGTCTATATCTAATTCTAAGCTAATATTTTAAAGGTAAAATAATGTTTATTTATTAATAATTATATGTTTTCAGTTTATTTGTCCCTTAAAAGCCTGTTATTTTATTAACCTTTTTGAAATTGACTGTACATAATAATTAAATATTGAAGTATAGTCTATGTACGTAGTCAGCTATAATTACAATGTATGACAATACAATCACAGTTTATTTCCTGTATTCTGCATAGTGTGCTTTTTTAATATTAAAATAATATAAAATATTATATTAATCTATTTAAATCAGGACCGGATTGATCCATATACTAGCCTCTCTATGCAATAAAATGTCCTTGATCAGATAGGCTGGTAGGGAAATAAGTTATATTTATATCTTATTATTTCATTTCAAAAAAAAAAAAATAAAATAAAACAAGTAGAGATCAAGTAATGAAGTCAGTTAAAAACCTCATTGTCTGTTTTTTCTCAAATGTGGGGTAGTTAGGCGGCGCTGAACCCTTATGCTAATGTAGATAATCCGGGACTGACTTCCATTTTGAAAGTAATTTATTTGTATCTATAGTAATTAGGATGTTACATACATCTGTGTGTTCTTGCATTTTACGAAAATTTGTTTTAAATTTTGCGAACTTTACGAGGCCAAAGTGTTCTTTCATAATGTTTGTACTTATTTGTAAAAGTTTCACGGCAAATTGAAAATATGGCGACACGGTATTATGGTAATGAGTTACGGCGTTACGTATTTAAAGGATTTTTTATCATATAGAAGCTTCGACCAAACCTGTGCAGCAGTTAAGCAAAAACACGAAATGAAGCGGGAGTAAACACAGCGCGTCTCTAGACTGGTAACTAAGGGCGCGAGTCGCGTACTTAGTCTGTTATGATTAAATTAGCCTCACAGACGCATGCATCTTGCGGGTTGATTACGTACCTCACAGTTACTGTATGGTAGACGAAAACTTTACAATAATTGATGTCAATCTTCATGTCGTGACATGTTTTATCAGCAATAATTGTTGGTGCCTCTGCAGAACGATTTAGGAACTAATCGTTAAATATATAATATTTTAAATATCTTAAGCAACTTGACAACTAGGGTCACTGTTTGACAGTAGAAAGTGTCACGATTAGGTCACAATCGTTCTTTGTACTATTGTGTACAATTGGTAATTTGAAATATTAAGGTGCGACTATCATATAGTAATTGCTAATTTATAGGTAATCAGCCTGCCTCTTTGCTCCGAATTATCTGCAAGGCGTCCTAATTTATCGCTAGTAAAGGAATATCCCCGCTCCACAATCGCTTTGGTCGTGGCTTTATTATTATATTTGCATTACCTATTCCAAATACATCAGTATACATGGTAAACAAGTATTACCTAGTGATTCGATAAGGTTTAGATGCTTAGCAGGTAGAGAGAGAGAGAGCGTCGAAATGAAATCCTTCTGTATCAGTGGTGTGAGTGTTGGGTAGTCACAAAAATAAATACATTTATTTTAATTGTCTGTGTAATTGTTTTAATTCGCATTGCAAGTAAATTGTAACTAAAGGAAAAAATTAAGCAATATAAAGACATTTAATATATTCGTTTCAATAATATTAATGTCGCAGTAAGACTATCTGTTTACCTATGTATATGAAATGATTTGTTTAAATTTGTTTATAAATAAAACTTTTTGATGTCACTATGCATGCATGCACACAATGCATGAAGGAGTTGGTACTACAAGTACAAAATATATTTTTGAAAATATTGAAAGGAACGGAAATTGTGTCGGATGATTTGATGTTGTCGGATAGTGCAATGCACTGAAAAATGATGTATATATATAAACATTATTCTAACCATAGAGAGTACATTTTATATAAAAATTATATTTAAAAGTGTTTCATTTATTTAACCTTATTAATATAATTATTATCGCCGTGTGGTCCCGGCATAGAATTGGCCACCGCTTCCTTTCCCATGGGAGTCGTAAGAGGGAACTAAGAGGAATGAGCTGCAATCAATCCGCCAACCAATCGTGGCAACTACTGGCCATTTATTTCATCAACTGGGTGAGCTTTACAGTCTCCCAATACGTTCACCCAGGAAAGCATCAGTACAGTAACATTTATAAAAAAGGAATAATACACTGTACATACGCAAATAAGTACTGTATATATTATACTATTTAAGAAACCTGTTTTTGACAATACTTCCTTGTTGAGTCAGCCGCACGTGACACTGTAGTCACGTAATGTGATCAGAATCTTTCCGAGGTGATATAATAAAATTTTAAGTAGATGACATATATGAAATCTTTAACATCTTATTAAAAGCAATGGAAGCTGAAACAATATTATTTGGAATCTTTGTGTAACAATATTTGTAGGTGTATTTGTTTCGGCGTCATACAAAGACTTCTGCAAGTATAATAAGACTGTGTTCCAACAAAAAATCCAATTAATTACTACTTACTATTTATTTTGATTTAAAGACTAAACTACCGAACAGATTTTGATAAAATTTCTATCTGCAAGTTTATCCTTTTGGATAAAAAAAAAAAAAATAATTTGCCAAGTCGGTTTACATCTGATAGAGTTATAAGGTAACAAATATATAAAAAACAATACAATATTTTTTCTAACTGAGCACCTTGTTTTTGATGTTGGTTAAAAATGCGGTTACCATTCCATTTGCAGCCATTAAAAGAAAGCATTTATAAGAACTGGCCATATTATAAACGGCGCAGTGGTAACTGCCTATAAATTATTAGTATTAACTTGAAGACGATCATGACTGGGTTTTTATTTCAAAAGAGCAATAAACAGTGAAATTACAGGGTATGAAGACAGGACACTAGTCTTTTTTTTACAACACGGGACAAACGAGCATTCGGCTCACCTGATGGTAAGTGACTACCGCCGCCCATGATCACCCACAATACTAACGGCATTGCAGGTGTGCTGCCGGCTTTCTAGGTATGCCTACGCATGGGTACCGTGAGTATCATAATGTATTCTGTAATGGAGGGTACCAGTATTTCGGTACTTTCCATCAAGTGGAGCATCAGCTTTATGCTTTTCAGTTTCGTAAAAAAATTTTGGTAAACCCTACCAAAAATCTAATAGAGAATATTTTTGTATGCAACTTAAAATGGCAAATTGATGAAAAACTTATGAGGAAAAACTCGTATCTCGCTGTATTTTTTTTAAGCAAGTTAGAATAATAAACAAGCTGACGACCCACCTGATGCAAAGTGGTAACCGTCGCCTATAGACATGAACAGTACCATAGACATAACAGAGTATACTGTTTCGCCCATGATACATGGTAGAGAGTGAGGCTCGATTCTTGCCCCGCACAATTTGACAATCCGAATATGCCGTTAATTATAAATTATTTTATATCACTTCAAATCAATAACTTACGAACGCGATATAGATAGATAATCTTTATTGTTTCCTTCAAAAGATTATAATAGTAAACTTATTATAGATACAAACAATTACAAGAAATAATCACAATGTGAAAACAATGGGCGACCTTATCGCTAAGAGCGATCTCTTGCAGGCAACCTTTGGATGGAGAGGAGTAATTATAAACAATTTGGTGGAAGGCACGATATAGTTTTTTTCATCGTGGTTAAATCTTAACTTTTAATCTTATATTCATATTAGTTATTACCATATGTTATATATGGGGCCAGGCGGACCGCGCCCACTCAAAATTGTCCAATGCCCACTACAAAATCTGAGTAGATCTTTTTTTTATACGACTTAGAATGGCAAACAAGCTGACGGCCCACCTGATGGAAAGTGGTAACCGTCGCCTATAGACATGAGCAGTACCATGGACATAACAGTACACACACATACTGTTTCGTCCATGATCCCCCCCTTGCGTTGCCATTCCTGAGGACTCAGGTGTTATTCCTCTGTACCCTGTAAATTCACGCCATATCCCACCCTTCAAACCGAAACAACCATGCAAACATAACTGCTTCACTGTAGAAACACGAATGGAACAGAGGTACCCAAGCAATCGACTTTTGTACAAAGTCTCCCTCTTTTACTATATAGGCAGAGACATGTCTGAGAGTACATAATGCGTCTTTTTAAAGGACCAGATCCCCTGTAAAATAATTTTCATTTCGTCAATGATTAAACGATATAGAGTAAGTATATGATAAAACTCATGAGTGAAATACGTACATAAATACATCTATCTAGTTATTTAAAGCTACGTCTGTGATATAAACATGAAAGCATAAAATATACTATGCTAATACCTTTTTTTGCTGCCACTACTGGCTACTTTATTATTTTAAACTGAACAAACAATTTGCAGCAGAATTGTGTCAGAAGACAGAAGATAGGTAATATAACTACTAAGTAATTCCGTACCTAATAAAATTTAAACGCTATTAATATAATAAATGCGAAAGTTTGTAATGATGGAAACATGTTTGTTACTCTTTCATACAAAAACTACTGAACAGATTTGAATGAACTTTGGCACATGAGTAGTTTATATCCTAACGTAGCATGTAGGATACTTTGTGTACTGACTCACGCGAGTGTAGCCGAGGTATGTAGCTAGTATAATAATAATACCTACTAAATGACATAATTCACAGTGCTTTCGTTTTTACACTTCAAGTTTTGTTTTATGTTATTATTTATATATCAAATGTAGTATACGAAACTCATTACAAATACTGGTTTGTTTTTCTATTATTGACTTAAGATTGTGACATCTCTTCCTAACTACTATTGTCTATAATAATACCAATGTATCGTTATTTTTAGTTGAATTAAACCAATATTTCCCTATGGTCTATATAGTTTTGTATCATTAATTACACAGTATCACTGGAGTAAGGTCCTCTAGGCCCAGTATAACTGTGATATAAATTAAGAATGCATTTTTAAATCACACTGTAGAAAAATACACTATACGTAGGAAAAATATTTTCTCGTTAAGAGCATTGCACCAGAGTTGTTAGTTTTGTTAAGTTTTTGCTTTACTCGAGAATCGAACTACATTTAAGTATATCAATATAAATCAGCATAACTGAATAAGAGCACAATTATTTATGAATAGTGTACTTCATCTCATAAGACTTTAAAAAACTCGTCCTAAACTTGTATTAGTGTTTTTATTACTCTTTTTGAAATGTCTTATGCATATTGCGTCGCCATTTCTTAGCAGAAAATAAATATCTACTAAACATCATCTTGGTTATCATTGCGTATGCGTATACAGGAATGTCATATTAATATTGACCGGGTTTCCAACTTGCGTATTTTCTCTCAAATATGTGGAGAAAATACGACAATGGAATCATAACTCCATTATTTAGATTATTGTGTAATTATAAGGACTTTATTTGTAATAAAGGACAAAATACATTTATAAGATGTCTAAGCCTAAGCACAATAATTGGTCAATTAAATTGTATATAATATACCAGCAGACTTAATCACCCACAAACATCTCTGTCGATTTAAGCAGGCTCCATTATCCAGTGACCTTACTACGATAGAATGTATAATAAAGTTACGCAGTACAATTTTACAATTAGTCAAAAGTTAAAATAATGTAATCTATTTTGAGGTAAGAAGTTTAAGAAAACCTGGCAACCCCGACTGTATGGCGTTTGTATTTTGTTTGAAAGTGAGAAACGTCGCCTTGACAACAATTTTGGTGGTTTTATGGAATATTCGATTGATTTTTACTATGAATTTGCCAAATTATGGATGATCCCCAAAAATTAACATCAGAAACAACAGAAAACAAGGTACTTATTTTTTTATTTTGTACTATTAGACCTGTCCGAACTTTCACGTTATTTATATTCTTTGCTACGTTAAAAATAGTACAGAAATGCATAGCTGCACAGCTCACCTGTGTTGCGAAGCCCAATTAATATTTAAAATTGTTGCTTTGTATTGACTAGTTGATATTTCATTCACATAACTTCGAAATAGAACTGTTGATTATACCGTCGATGGCTATGAATTTCCACAACGTTTACCTATTTATAATTATTGTTTATTTTTAGAAAGTTCTTCCGGATGTCGTGCATTCACAACAGATTCCCGCTCTGGGATCTGTCGCGAGCAGTGACACTCAATTGTCACAAATTGACACAGGGCAAAATATAGCAGGTGAAAATAGGGTTCACAATGTTGGAGATACAACCGATACGGAGTCTATATCAGAGCACATACCTTCCAACGTGGATGACTCTGCCAGTGATTCCCTGAATGTAAATAAAACCCATGAATCTCAGGGTTTACTTAAAATTGAAACCCACCCGGAGAGAGTTTCTGGAGATAACTCTTTGAATATTCCAGCGACACACACATCTAATAGTGAAAATCCTAGCATACAAGATCCAAGTAGACAAAGTACATCCTGGCCACTCGATGTAAATATATCAGATATGCACCTCCTTAGTGAAGAGAGTCCAATTAATTTAGCACTATCATCAGATTTGTCCAAAGATGGTGGTACACAAGAAACCAAATCACATTCTTTGCGCACACCAGGTGCTAGTGAACAAAATACACCACAAGAATCTCCTAGAAGTGATGGTTATGTGGACTCACTAAATGAACAAGAGGAATCCAGCCATAAAACAGATTCATCAAATAAAGAAAAATCAGTGGACAATTCAGATAATTCTTTAGAAGCAAATGAAGAATCTCTGGAGAGGAACAGTTCTGGATCTGAAGAAATAATTAAATTGGATATAAGGGGTCAAGGTGTGCCAAAATTCTCATTACCAACCGCCAAAATTATATTTGGGCCACCACCCGAAGGAAGCACCATGATTGGTCAAAATAGTGACCATATACCAATGTTTCCTAATTTATTGTCACCATTTTTAGTTGGTGCTGGCGATAGTATTAAAGTTGAAGAGGTCTTTGATTTTACCGAGCAGCAGTCCAAAGAGCCATCACCAGAGAAATCTTTGGATTTATCACTAGACAAGTCCCTTAATGCCTCACCAGAAAAATCACTGGAGTCATCCCCAGACAAACGAAGCTTGTCCAGTGATAAGGTTGAACAGAATGATTTGCTAGTCGAGGAAGTGATTGTCGATAATGATATGAAGGAAAAAGGTGACAGAGATGAAGCGTCAATGACACCACAGCACAAGTCTATGCCACCAGAGGACATGTCACTCAGTACAACAGACTACAAGACATTAGGCGAGGAGTATCATGAGAAGGTATTAGTCATCGTCCATGGACTGTGCTTCTGCGCTTACCTGCTCTGCGCCATCACCCTGCTGTGTTTACTGATCCTGCTTATAATACCTTTAGCATGTTATGTCTTAATAATTTGCAAATTCCACTATTTTGTTTATGGCAATTTTTTAGAACAAGTTTGTTAATGATTTGTGCAATTATCCAAACAGGTTTTATACAATTTGTTTTGTCAAAATAAATTATAACTTTATTAATTATATTATCAATTTTATATACTGTTGGTTTTTACGAGTGAATGAAATAAACAGTAAAATCAACAATTTTATATTTATAAATTTACATAAGTTGTGAAAGTGGTTATTGCAAGAATTGTAATAAATACCTTATATCTATTGCATTCATGTAAATAATAATAGTATTTGGAATTTTATTCTCTGTCTGATAAGTAATGGATGGGAATGCAGACAGAGTATTCTACCTGCAGAACTTGAAGAAATTATGAATTAAGAAATTAAATTATAGTGCAAAATTCACATGGGAATTTAAGATGCCAGGTTTATGAATAATTGAGTGATAAACATCTAAACAATGAAATAAATACATAATTATTTTTAATCTGTCTGAAAATATTTTAAATTTGTAATGTTGCATTTGGGAATTTTTAATTTTTTTTAATCTAGATATTAATAATTTAGGGTTCTTAGTCTATGTTTCTATAAGTAGAGTTTTTCACAGAAGTTAATATGCATCTGTCCAGTTTTTTTTTTTACAAAGAATAGATAATGAATTTGAAATAAGTGAATCACTTTGTAAGGAATAACTTCTTAATCTTAGCATTGGGCACAATAGAATACTTATTCTTCCTTATTTTCTGTCATTTCATAATACGCCACTTTTTTAAACATACACCAAAAATTTGAAAACTATAAGAAGTATCAGTGCCAGCATTATGTTATTATTTCCCATGTGGCTTATTCATTATGCTTTTATGTGAATGTTTTCTATGTATTGAATGCATATCTGTCCTTTCAGCTTGAGCACTTGGAAGACGCTCTCACGCGTCGTGACGAATTAATCAAAGAACTGAACGTCTCCTTACAGCGATACGTTCGTGAACGGGACGAGCTCAGACATGAGAATGAACACCTCACCAACGAGGTGCAGAATTTACAGCATATTGTCGGTGAGATGTCGAACTCTGAGCACGACACGGTCAAAGGACAGTTGTCAGACTATGTAAAGTACCAAAGTATGGTTAAAGACGACAGCACCAAGTTTTACTCGGCTTTGATGAGCGGAGGATCCTCTCTACAAAGTTCCAATGGCGAGAAGGATATGGACCGTGAAGAAATTACAGTTAACTATTCAAAATCTGACCTGAGGTCTTCTGGTTCTTCAGAAGATTTCCAAACTGGATTCGAGAGCAAATTAACTACGATAATTAACAAGTTCGATCACTACATCGAGGAGAATTTGAGGAACAAACTTCGCGAGAGCATGATACAGGTATTATGTGATGAAATAGGCAAAATTAGGATAGAGTCCGACACAGAAATGAAGGAATTGGAAGCGCAAATACAGCAAGACAAACAAGCTTACACAATAGAGACACGGCGGCTGAGAGAACTCCTTGCCTCTGTGAAGGCAGGGAATGCTGATATAGATGCTCTAAGGCAGGAACTTAGTGTGAAACATGAGAAAGAAATGGAAAATTTGAGGACATATTTTGAGAAAAAATGTACTGATATGGAGAGGAGGTATGTTACATTTTTGTTTATTGTAATAATATTATTGATATTATTAAAAAGTGACTTATGTATTAAATTTCTTTTTTGCAACCAAGGCCAAAAAGGAGGTACGTTTTTATATTTACAGTATAACAGTTTAATTAATAAATTCTACTAATTTTGTTCATGTGACATTTTACTAATAAATCGAGACCTATAAATAGAACTCATACGAGTATGTGTGATTATTAAATTATTAAATCAATACGGTTTCAGAGGAACTTTCTCCCGCAAACATTCAGGTTGTGGAGTGATCTTCCTACCGAGGCTTGCCCTAGAGACTACAGCATGGGGTTCTTCAAAAAGGGCGTATTAAGGTTTCTTAAGGGTCAGCAAAGCATGAGTGACATCTGGTGTTATAGGCGTCCATAGGCTACGGTAACCCCCTTTATAATTAGACGGGCTGTATGCTTGTTTGCCAAGATAGTAGTATAATATATAAAAAAAAAAAAGTGAATGTCCCATTATTGAAAATATGCATTTTTCTCATCGACTAGATGTCGTAAGCGACAAGGGAAACACCACATAACGTGTCAGTAATAGAAAATGAAAACTTGAAATAAAACTAGTGGAAGCTGTCTAGCCACTGTCGCAACAGTAGGCTAATATTGTGTAGTAGTGAGAGAGTAATGGTGAGGAGGATGGCGCTGGTTGCAGCTACTCGGAGGAGGTGTGGCGGGGCCGGGAGTGCGCGTCGCCGCTGTCGTCGCTGGAGGCGGAGGCGGAGGCGGGCGCGGCGGCGGCCGGCGGGGACTGCGCTCGCCGCCGCACGCGCAGCGCTGAATTCCCATCCATTTCCTTCGAGGTGGTAACATGCTTACATTTACTTTTTACGGTGTACAGACAGCAAACCGAACATACAACTTGAAAATAAAGAAATATTTATTGAGTAAAGCTTATTACTTTCTAAACAATTATTTATAAGACAAACATGTTTGATATTAGTTCAAGAATAATAATAATGTTTATTTATTTCTGACAACTTTTTTGAGTACAATGAACCATTTATAACAATACCATAGATACATTAAAGTTGCAGAGAACTGGTGCCTGAACTGGGCATCCGAAGAACCCGTGTCACAAGGCACCATCGATTATATATGAGCATTTAAATATACAGAACTATGTTATTTTACACATATTACATCAATTAAAATAAACATAATACGAGTATTACTAGAGATTTAACGAAATAACTGGTTGCCGAATTTCTTGTAATTTCTTCTCAACAGATGACTTAAAATATAGCAGAATCATAAAAAAAAAAAATTATACTTTATTGCACGCAAATATTACATCGTTACAATTTATTTTGACGAAAGATATACAACAGGCGAAATAGATAGATAGATAGATAGATAGATAGATACTCTTTATTGTTTCCTCCAAAATATTACAATAGTAAACTTATTATGAATATAAACAATTACAAGAAATAATCACAGTGAGAAAACAATGGGCGACCTTATCGCTAAAAGAACAAATCCAGAGTTGAAAGGAACATTGAATAATAATAATTTAAAAGAGCTTTAGTGCAGACTTACTTGAATAATGTTTAATTTGACATTAAATTAAAGATGGTCCCGGCATAGAATGGACCACCCCTTTCTTTCCCGTGGGTGTCGTAAGAGGTGTTCTAGGAGAATTTAATTGTTAAGGGATTGGCAGCAGCATTCCTTTTAAAACATCATCAAAACTGCGGTTGCTAACACGCCTGCCAAAACTGGCAAAAATCCTCGAAAGAAGGCTTATGTTAGTAAATAGCTGGTATGGTATGGTATGGCATCATTGTTATATACAAAATATCTGTCATGTCCATGGTACTGCTCATGTCTATAGGCGACGGTTACCACTTTACATCAGGTGGGCCGTCAGCTCGTTTGCCATTCTAAGTTGTATTAAAAAAAATCTATTTCACTCTTATCCTGTTGTTTTACTCTATTTTTATAATGAATGGCACTCTTTTATTCTCTTCTTTCATTTGCAGTCAACACCTCTGGAACAAGGTCTGAAGCAAATGTGCAAAAAGTATGAGCAGCAAATAGAAGATCTGAAAACTGAGCATGTGGCATACGTGCAGGACATACAGGCGCGGCATGCTGATACTATAGCCACTTTGGATAACCAGGTCAGTTGGTAAATGTTGTGTTATGACCAAGCAAATATAGTTGTTTTTTTCTTAAGTCTTGGTGTTCAACTGGACTATGTCTGAACTTAGGAGATATTAAAAAAAAATATATATATAAGGGTCTCTTATAAGAGCTGAAATAATCGTTTTTAGATTTTGTTTTGTTCTCAAAGTTTACTGCTCAAAATGGAAAGCGATTATTACTGATTTATACCCCAAGAAAATATCTTACTTAAATAATGACACTAAAGTTTTGCAAAGTGTGGCAAAAACATTACGATTATATATCAATTTTCAAATCAGTTAGCCCATCGTGACGAGTTCAATAATAAATCAATCACGATGGTTTCCAGAGCCAACCGCGTGGAGGTCGACCTGACAGGGCACATTGTCGGCAATGGGGCCGCTAGACCTAATCATGACTGGGAGAGAATGTTTTTAGCATTAAGTCCGCCATGTACACATATTTGTACTAATGAATAAATAAATAAATTAACAATCTCTTCTTCTTCCAATAAGAGTAATGTCAATTTTGCAACCTTTCTTTTATGTCGATTGTTATCAAACCAACAGATCACAAAATTAAAAGCACGCATACTGACTTCGGAGAATGCAGACGCCAATGTATCGCTGTACCAGCAAGACATCGACCTGGAGCTCGAGAAGGTCAGTAGATGAACGGGTTACTGCCGTTTTGATGTGGTGTGCTTAACGTTTAAACTGTACTCATATGACATAATGGCAAACAAGGAAACGGTAGAACTTATGGTAAATGGTAAGTAACCATTGCTTATATACGTGAATAATTTGAGGTTAAAAAAATTAATTAGGTACCTTTTTTATTTTATGTTTATTATTAAAAAATAAAACAGACGGTTAAAACTGTTAACTGTCATTCAATAATAGTGATTTCATTTTTTTTATATAACTTTTTTTTATATTTTTTGTTCTTTTTTAAATATTTGTACTTTATAAAACTTCTGACCCCCTCTTGAATTTTATTGCTATACTTGATACATTTTATGTATAACGCCATCTAGTGATAATATTAGTAATAACACGACAACAAACCGACAGATGGATAAAATTCAAAGTTATATTAAAAGCGTCCAAAAGTAGCCTAATTAAAAGATAATATAAAAAAAAAATACAACGAGCACGCAACATTGTATACTGTATCCGCTTACCATAAGGTGTGCCGTATGCTTGCTTACGACTTTTAAATATGCCTTTTATAAAAATATAAATTAGTTATATTAATGGCATGTCTGTGTGCCCTTTTATTTCACTACCCACAACATATATTGACAAATATGTCGTATATATTAAAAAAAAACTTTTTGACTTGATCTTTGCCTTTTAATGTATATTTTTTTGTATATATAGTGTAACAAATGTTGCATGCAGGGGATAGAGAATTTGATGGTATATACATATATATATTAGCTAATGATATCTCGGTGGCATAGTATCTATATTCTATAACTTTGAGGTCCAGGTTTCATTTCAACAACGCTACAGTCTTTCACTCAATCTGTATCGCATCATTTATGAACTAACTTCACGTAATAAATAATAGTATCACAACAGTAAATGTAAGTTATTAATAAATTTAATATATTTATTAACAATTCATATGTTATTTAAAAAAAAAATACATTGTTTGATTCTATATTTTTTAAAAGTTTCCCGTATGTTGGATTCGTACTTTATTGTTAGTTTTGGCCAACAACCTACTTCAATTTTAAAAAGATATTTTTAATGATTTTGAATGAGTTTTTAAATTATTTAAAAAAGAAATTTTATTTCATTTTATTTTTGGTTTATTATGGAAACATACAATTCCTGTAATCAGTGAGTTTAAAAAATATACAAATATTTTAAATTCACATATGTAGAGAAATAAAGTTGTTCTTATAGCGACTTGCTGTTTTCACAAAGAACGTGTATTATGTTCTTTATGAAAATCTATGAATAATATAAATTACAATCTTGTCTATGGAACTTGTAAATACCACAACACTCATTTCCTATTCTCTCACGACACCATATTGTAAATACATTCTTTATCTAATGCCACGAATCTCTCTCCTGCATGCATGAAATGCGACTAACCCGCTCGTGTGTGACTAAATCGGGCGATTGTCGGCCGACTGTCGGGCGACTGTTGACGGATATAGAAGAGGGATGCCCAGTTGGAGCAGAGGATCGAGGAAGTGCGCCAAGAAGTGATACAGCAGTTGCAGGAGCAAATACAGGTATGCCGGATTTATTATCGTCGAGTAAGTGTAATTTTTTTTTCAGCGCCAATAATTCGACTTGTAATATATTATAATTATGGCAAATTGACGCTGCGGGAATTTGGTAGTGGAGAGTTTAAATAAATAAATTATATTAACCCTTCTTTGCATGATTTTTTTTTTATTGGTGAAATAAATCAAGGTGATATAATTCATGTTCAATAATTAAAGGAAAAATGGTTAAAAAATAAATTTTACAGCTATGGTTTTTTTCCTGCAATAGACATTAAAAAGGTATCCAGACACGATCAATTTAAAGTAAAATTGTTATTTTATATAATTTTTGGGCATTCAATGTTCTGATGGAAATTTCCACCATTATGCAAAGAAGGGTTAATTTATACTCATATACCATTTACTGTACATAATTAACATATTTTGTTAACAGATTTAATTAAAAAGAAATGTACAATACAATGTAAATACAATGTAACAGTGTAATACAATTTATCTTTGTTCAAATAAACTTTTTTACAAGCACTTTTAAATCGTCACTTGTTTTATGAATGTAGGATTCGGAAAATTGTTATCTGTTGAGGAGAGCCCGCAAGTAACTCAACAGTTACTCTTTTAAGTCTCTCTTGTCAGTAAATATATCCCGGTCACGCGGACGAAGTTGCGGGTAAAAGCTAGTATTTGTATATAACACTTATACAATTAATTACATCTGATAATTAGAATGTAAATATATTTCCGTCACGTCTATATTTTTATACCATAGTTACTGGATACTTCACACATCGCCATCTAGTGTCGAACTAAGCAAACAGCAATACGGATACTAGACAATTGACAGAAATATTTCTATACTTGTTTTACTAAATACATACATAATATACAATAAGCTAACACCAGTTTCAGAGGGGGAAAGGGATTGTTAGTAATGGAGACTGTAATATACCCAATCAGGTCGACCTCCTCACGGTTCTCCCTGGAAACTATCATGGTTAATTCCTGATGAATTCATCATGATGGGCTAACTGGCCTGTTTTCATTCTCATCTATCACCCTTCACTGGTGCTCCGCCAGCGTATCCCGTTAGTACAGGCAGGGTTACCATACCATTTTCACCCATCAAAAAAAAAAAACACCAGTTTAAGATTAATATAAACAGATGTATATAGACAAATTTGTATTGTGCAGAGTCGCGCGTTCGCACTCTGTAATCTTTGAATCTCTGGATCTCTGATATACGAATCGATAAATGAAGTGCATTAAACCATTACACCATCAAGTCTGTACACATCCAGTCTTAATGTGTGTGTGTGTGTTTTTTTTTTCATACAACTTAGAGTGGCAAACAAGCTGACGGCCCACCTGATGGAAAGTGGTAACCGTCGCCTATAGACATGAGCAGTACCATGGACAGAACAGAGTATACTGAGGACTCAGGTGTTATTCCTCTGTACCCTGTAAATTCACTGCTATGTCATTCACCACTTATCAATAAGTTATTCGATTGAGAGTAGAGAAAAGCGCTATTATTCAATTAGGCCCCTCGTAAAAGTGCTTCATTATTATAATTATTGGAACTCTTTGTGGCCAGTCCGAGCAATTACTTTCAATAGTCTAGTCCAATCTTTTTTGTTTCGGTATTGTAGGGAGAACTAGCAATATAGGGTATATTGCTGATCCTCCCTCTAATACTTCGACCAGTCAGGTCGACGCCCACGGATCCTTCTGGTTGTTATCGCGTTTAATTTTTTTTTTATACAACTTAGAATGGCAAACAAGCTAACGGTCCACCTGACGGAAAGTGGTAACCGTCGTCTATAGACATGAGCAGTACCATGGACATAACAGAGTATACTGTTTCGCCCATTTCTGAGTTGCCATTCCTGAGGACTCAGGTGTTATTCCTCTGTACCCTGTAAATTCACGCCATATCCCACCCTTCAAACCGAAACACAGCCATGCAAACACAACTGCTTCACGGTTGAAATACGAATAGGACAGAGGTACCCAAGCAATCGACTTTTGTACAAAATTTCCCTCTGGCAGAAATTGCCAAATATATTTGGCAACCATGTTAATATTTATAACAAAATAAACAATTTTAAAGTGCAACGATCGACTATGTTGCCAGTTATTCTCAGTTCAAAGTATTCATACACCACAGAAAGTGGGATAAAAAAAAATTAAGAGGCAATAAATGTCTTATAAAATAATAGTTCGACTTTGACAGCATTACAACTAGTCTTTGAACAATATTTTACATTACAGTACACCATGATTCATTGTTAGTACAGTTTAAAAATAAGTGTTACCAACTCGTGTACGGTTATTGGCTGTAACGTAAAAACGCCTTTTTGGCAATATAAGATTTTACCCGCAAGTTTGCTCGCATGCTCTGGAGAGTCTACCATGATATGAAATTCTGAATTAGCTGTCCACCGTTGAACGTAGGCCTTCCCCTATTGGGGAGGTTTTGCTTGAAGTTGCCGCGTTTGGCAACCAGGTTGGTAATCGTAGTTAGGCTTTTGGTGATGTTTTAAGAGGGACGCTGCTGTCCATCCCTCGACAGGTAAGTTCCCTTAGTCGGTTCTTACAACACCCATGGGAAAGAGGTGGCTTATTCTATGCCGGGACCACACGGCAACTAGGCAATTTACCAATTGAAAATTATTATAAAAGTATTAATATAAATTTATTCTATATTGTAATCAAATTATTGTACGATTAAAAATTAAAACTAAAACAAAAAATAGAACCTTCAAAATTTTTCCAATCATACAATTTATCATAAATAAGCCTCTCCCTGGAGGGGGGGGGGGGAGAGTTGCCAATAATCATACAATTTTTAGAATAAAATTTTCATATATCTAATATATAAAATTCTCGTGTCGCGGTGTGAATCAGCATAATTACTATTTTTCCCTAGTTATAAGTAACTGAGTTAAAATTTATATATATATATATATATATATATATATATATATATATATATATATATATATATATATATATATATATATATATATATATATATATATATATATATATATATATATATATATATATATATATATAATTTATAACAAATAAACTAAATATAAACCGCTCTAAGTGCTTCGATATGCTTCTATGCTTGACACCATTTCGTTTTACGAAACATTGTTGTTCTTATATATTCCTAAATAACATTTAATGGCCTCGATTCCAACACAATAATCGGGTCAAGTCCATGGGGATTTGTCTCTTGACAATAGTATACGGATAGATTTTAGGGTTCCATAATTAAATGACAAAAACCTTTCTGTTTTGCCAAGGGTCGACTGAGAGAGAATGATATACAGTATTAAGTCTGCCTTTTGTATCAGTTTTTGTAATGTAGTCAATAAAAAAAAAAAAAAAAAAAAAGCGAATATGCCACAGAAGTGGTAAATAAATATACGTCTCCCCTGATTGATTGCAACACCATCTATCTACCGAAAATAAACAATATTAAAAAAAAAATGAGTTAATAGTATAGTGTGTAAATGCAGATGAGCCTCCCAGAATTAATTCTGACAGCGCCCATATGGTACGATGCTGTGTTCAGGCATCTCACCAGCATGTAAGCATATAAGTGTTTCTTCAGTCTCCACACATCCTGTAGCTATAGCCAATCCTATAGCGTGGCGAAAAAGTGTCCAAAGTGTATTTTTTACATACATACATACATATCTGTCACGCCTGTCTCCCATTAGGGTAGGCAGAAACAATGGAACGCCAAATGCTTCGATTCAAACAAACCTCTTTCGCTTCTTCCACGTTCATCAATCTTTTCATACACGCTCGCCGGTTACGGGTTCTTTTAATTTGGCCCTTCTTCAGCACGTCGCCTATTCGGTCAACATACGTCCGTCTAGGGCGGCCCCTACCGACATCTCCATTCATTCTTGCTCGATAAATCTCTTTCGTAATTCTTCTTTCATCCATCCTCTCCAAATGACCAAACCAACCAATGTATTTTTTATTTGCGCGGAAATCCCTACTAGGGTTGGCACCGTGCCAGCACCGAAAGGTACACTACACGCAATAATAAACCGCCTCGCTCTCATGGCTGGGCCGAAATAGAGCAAGGTTTACTCACACTAGTTGTCACGGAACCGAACTGGGGACACTACTCACAATCGCGACTATTGGCTACTGAAATCATGTGATAACCATTTAATCAATGGACAATTCAGTTTTTATTCATAAGTGTTTAAAAAAGACTATTTTCTGAATGAATTGAGATTACAGTGTCGTATTACGTACTAAGTACGTTTATATGTAGTTTTAGTGTTGGATTGGTGTGAATCCTGTGAAATAATGTGAAATGCCTGATCGTTACCATCTGCCATTTACTAAGAGACGCGTAAGTTAATTTTATTAATGGACGGTGTATATATTTTATATAAAAGATTGAACTAATATCGGATATATGCATTTTGAACTTTAAAAAAATTCAAACGAGAGTTCAAAATTATAGAAACGTTCTATTGAATATCGTTTAAAAAAAAAGGATTCACAATTATCTCACCAGAGGGAGACTTTGTACAAAAGTCGTTTGCTTCGGCACCTCTGTTCCAAGCAAATGACTTTTGTGTTCGTGTTTCTACCGTGAAGCAGTCGTTTCGGTTTGAAGGGTGGGATATAGCAGTGAATTTACAGGGTACAGAGGAATAACACCCGAGTATTCAGGAATGACAACGTTAGTTTCGGCCGAAACCGAAACCAAAACTTATTGAAACATATTTAGAATTTCTCTTCTATACTGAAATCTAGTGTATTTTTATACAATTATTTACACAAACACAGAGATAGTTGAAGGGTAATAATAAACACTAATTAAAGTATGTAACAAATATGTCATATATATGTAAAAACATGTTAAAATTATGACTTACATTTGGAAGTAAACTTAAAAAAAAAATCAATTTTCAGTTAGACACACAACACACAAAGTTTCGGCGCGGCCGAAAGTTTCGGCT